GAAGATTAATTTACTAGCAAAACTGCATTTCTGTTCTTGTGGTGGAATGCCTGTTTGCTTTTTACACTTTTAATCATGTCTGATGATGGTATGATCTCCGATGAAATAGTCTCATCAGTAAAAATTCTAACAAAAATCTGTATATGACTATTTTGATCATCACCACCTAGTTCATCTCGCTTGTAGAAATCTGACGTAGTTGAATTCTTATCCTAGGTGGTAATGTTGGAATTAAAGTCGTGAAATTTGTTGATGCGAGACATAAGTCTTGTTTTCATATACTTCCAAGAATTTGTTTATATTAATAAAAATAATATGCCTCGTATTTCTGATGGAAATATTGATATTCATGGTCGATATAAATTTTTATTTTTCTTAATTCAATGTAAATGGTAAGTATTTCTTACTAAATGTATGTTGTTAGTAAATATATATATTTTTTGAATATTTTACAATGACCATTTGATAATTCTGTTGTGTAAGTTACGCTGCTGGGAGTGAGATACAGACCGGGCGGTGGTCTTAGGCACTGTGGGGGTCCCAGGCTGATAACGTAATTCCGCGGGTAGTAGCTTGTATAATCGCCCGGTGTAGACATCAGATTTATCCAACATTATATTTACTTTTTTTTATTTTATTTATAATAGGTTAAGTCCAAGATATAAGATTGAAGTTAAGGTATTACGTGAGTTCTTGAATACTATTGCGGAAAACCCTCAATTTATTGGATTTCTTGTTTCGAACGTCGAATTAGGAGAATATGCATTAAAGGAATTAAAAGATTCTTTACTTAAAGATAGGATTTGTGTATGCTTTTATTATGAAATTGTTGACAAAATTAAAGAACACGCAGAAATTTTGAAAATAAAACAAGATAAAGATGAGAATGAAAAAAAAGAAAATAAGAGAAAATTCACGGAAATAGAAGCTGAAATAAAATTTCTTAGAAGAGAAAATAAAAAGATTAAAGAAGAACGAAATGAAAAGTATGAAAAGAAGATTGAGGAACTTCAAACCCAGATAAATGATCTTGAAGAAAAACTTGAAACCCAGAATCGAGAAATCAAAGAAAGACTCGAAAATCAAACTAAACAACTTAAGAAACAAAATCGAGAATTAAAAGAAAAACTCGAAAGTCAATCCAAGGAATTCGATAAAAAACTTAATTTAATTTTAAGTAAATTAAATTAAATATAAGAATAAGGGTAATTCCGGGTTATTTTAACCTATCACGTAATCTGAAGAGCGCTTCTATTTTTACCTGGGTTAAAATGTATAAGTGAATGAGCTTAACATTTTTAATTTGTTCTTTTTTATTTTTTTCTTATGTAAAGTTATCAACTACCTAATTTCATTTATTCACAGAAAGTAATAATTACAACAAATTAAATTTGTTTTATCTTTTCACATATGGGCTGATTTGGCTCCGATCACTATGCAAATTTTGTGATGATCGCGAATTTGTCCTACACTAAAAATCAATCTCATGATCAGATGATCCGATTTCATCACAAAA